GTACTTGAATTCATAACATTTGGTTCTTTAGTAAACAAACTTCTATTTCTGCCACTATTATTTGTAGGTTTTTTTTCCTCTATAAGGGAGACAAATTCAAATACATTAATTAAGCTTCTTATGAAGTGTGTTTCATTCCTCAAATTTTCTTTCTCCTATTTCATGAAGCTTAATCTTTTATTATAAGTCATAGTGATTCAGGTAACTATTGCAATTTCTCTCTGCTATTTTGGTGACTTTTTTAAAACTCTTTAAAAAATTCCAGCAAAGATGATTGAAAATTGATCAAAATATCAAATCTTAGGTACCATTGGAAAATCCAGAGAGTTAATATGATAAGTATTTCTTTTTTACTATAAAACTTATGTTTTGCAGAGTTCTTGGACAAAACAAGCCAACTAATACTGTAGATGAATGAGTCAAATCCATTTTCCTCTTCACAAAGGTATCTTTTTATGTGCAGCAAAAACTTAATTTTTCATGGCATATTGCAAGAACAACAGTCATTGAGTTATTACAGGAGGAAGTTATGTTTTTCAAATGAATAGCCTTCTATAATAGTAAACAACATTACTTAATACTGTTCATTTATGTGTTTATTGAGGTACTTATATTGGATTGGATTCAGCTTAGCAGTGAACTTCTATTAGATTACTGAACGCTCCAACTTTGAGAATGCACACACAGACACCTCAACTCATTCTCATTGTCTCGTAGACACTCAATACTGACGTGACACAGATGAATATTTTTAAGTTGGAGTTTTCATCTGTTAGTGTACATATGAGTTGAGGCGTCTAGATGTGTATCAAGTGTTCCGTTGTCAGTTGATGCTATGTTAAAGGTGTGTGCTATGTACTGTGCCTTTTTCTTTTTGTTTGTGTGGGTAGGACAAACTAAAAAGGAAAGAGTTTCACATAAAAATTGAGACGAATGGAGTAATGGAAACTAAAAAACATGTATATGTACTATTTTTCCTACAAGTCTATTGAGACTAGTTACAAGTCACTCATGTTGAACATGAATAATTTATCTCATTACTAATTATTAATATTGGTATAACTTATCGCAAGATTAGTAATCAAACAAGAGATAAGGTGATACTATATTTTTATGGACTATTTAAGCTTTTCCAAGCATATCAAACACACTCCTAAACATCTAGCATTATGTATGTGTGTGAGAAAACGAATTAAGTACATATAAAAAAATGAAACTTATTGATTCTAAATTCTGAATTTGTCATTACTTGCTCCGTCCAAAGATGGACAGGGAGAAGTGCATTTTCCCATATTTACAATAAAAAAAATGCCACAACCAAAACTTAAATTCTATTGCAACCTTCTCGACCAGTTCAAGTGAGAGGAAAGATGTAATATAGCTTGAACGAAGTGAGAGGACTGAAAAAGAAGTCCGAGTGATTGAGGGGACCCATACAAGAATACATGGAAAAACAAACATAAAATCTATATGTGGAGAAATAATGAAAATATTAAATATCTATTAAAACATCTTTTATTTGTCAATATATGTGGGACCCATACAAGAATACATGAAAAAACAAACATAAAATCTATATGTGGAGAAATAATGAAAATATTAAATATCTATTAAAACATCTTTTGTTTGTCAATATATGTGGGCCCCAGTGCCTGGGAATATATACTTTTCTTAAATTTTTTTATTAATAATAATTAAACTATAGGTTTGACTTTGCCACCTAAAAAGATAATAAAATAAAATCTTTGCAATTTGATGAGCAAAAGGCAAAAGAAGATTGGTTTCTTGACTTTGCATATATCAGTTTCCCCATGGAGAATCATGAAGTGTATTAATTTTGTATATCTATGTCTCTCGTTTTCTTATACCCTACTTTTATCTATTTTCGATAAAAACTTATTCACATCAGGTATTTATTTCAATTCAATGAACATACGAAGAAATTAAAAAAAAGATTTAATCTTTACGATACATACATTTTTTTTTGTTTCTTGCTTGATGTTTTATCATTTGGTATTTTCTACAAATCATCACTATACTTGATATAATTTACAAGCTAGTGGAATCTAGAAGAATGAAAATAGAGAAAAAATATCTGATAGATCTTCGAGATAAGTAAAGATTTGCTACAAGTCATTAATAATCTTCTGGTAATTATTTTTCTTAAGTCTTAATTAACTACTTTTTTTATAATTATCCCTTTCACCTGGACCACAAAATTAAGTGAAAAAAAAAAACAAATTTGGAGGATATATTGTCTTGAGCCACACATTTTTCAACTTCATCGTACGTAGGAATAGAAAATTTATGAATGAGACATTGATTGCTACAATGGCATCAAATATCGTGTTTGATGATAAAAGCTATCACGTGAAAATTGAAATTGTTTGTTACGTTTGACGATGAGTTGTCTCTTTTGTTATTAAATCGCGAAATATGCTTGAAATAATCAAAATTTGTAGATTCTTTTTCATTAATTTTCTTAGTTAACATGATTATGTATTTATGCTACTTGTGGATTTTTTTTTTAAGTTAATGAAAATATTTTCGATATTATGTAATATTGTGATTTAGTCATTGACCAAAAATAAATAAAGGGGTAAATATTATTTTAACTAAAGAATCTAATGACGTGTTAATGAGACGACTTTATTGGTAATTAGAGAACTAATTTATCAATAAAAATTCTTTTTAGGCCGGAGATGTTAGATTTTTTTTTGTACTATATATATAGTTTGTAGATTTTGAAGAAGTGTATAAATAAGATAAAAGTTTTTTTAATTTATTTTTTTACTTATAAATTGCTAGGCTACCACGTCATGTGTTACAGATTCGAGGTATCTTAGTGTAATAAATTATTTTATGTGTTGGTCAATTATTTATTTATTTATTTTAAAAGAAAATCTTTAATCACACATACTATAATAGGACATGTCATGTGTTAAAAGATTACCAAATATCTACTTACTTGCCACGCACTAATACATTTTTTTTTTCTATTTTTGGTCAATAAATAATAACTTAAATGAGTAAGGATGGTTTGATAGCTGAATAAAAAATAAGTTATTCATATATTATTTTTTATTAACTCATATGACATTTGATAGATAGATAAACAATAAGTTATTTATGTAAAAATTACAACGATATATAGGGTGTGTTTGGTATGAAGGAAAATGTTTTCCTAGAAAATGTTTTCCAGGAAAACAAGTTGATTTTTGACTTATTTTCTCATGTTTGGTTGGTGAGTAGAAAATATTTTTCGGAAAAGATATTTAGTGTTTGATTTATGAATGAAAAATATCTTTTATTTTTATTAGAGTAGAAAATAATTTTTGAAATTGAAAATAGTTTTTAAAAACAAACTTAAATTTTTTTTTGGGGGGTGGGGGGTGGTAGGGGGTGGGTGAAGGGGGGGGGGTCGAGTGTAGGGGTGAAAAAATGAAATTTTGAAATTGAAAATATTTTTTAAAAACAAACTTGAAATTTTAAATTTTTTTTGGGGGTGGGGGTGCGGGGGGGCTGGTAGGGGGCGGGTGGGTGGGGGTCGAGGGTAGGAGTGAAAAAATGAAATTTTGAAATTGAAAATATTTTTTAAAAACAAACTTGAAATTTTTTATTTTTTTTTGGGGGTGGGGGTGGGGGGGGGCTGGTAGGGGGTGGGTGGGTGGGGATCGAGGGTAGGGGTGAAAAAATGAAATTTTGAAATTGAAAATATTTTTTAAAAACAAACTTGAAATTTTTTTTTTTTTTTTTGGGGGTGGGGGTGGGGGTGGGGGCTGGTAGGGGTGGGTGCGTGGGGATCGAGGGTAGGGGTGAAAAAATGAAATTTTGAAATTGAAAATATTTTTTAAAAACAAACTTGAAATTTTTTATTTTTTTTGGGGGTGGGGCGGCTGGTAGGGGGTGGGTGGGTGGGGTCGAGGGTAGGGGTGGAAAAATGAAATTTTGAAATTGAAAATATTTTTTTAAAATAATTTTTAATATTTTTTTGGGAGGGGGTGGGGGTAGGGATGAGGTCGGGGTAAAAAAATTGAATTTAAAAACAAACTTTAAATTTTTTATTTTTTTGGGGAGGGGTTGGTTGGGGGGTGGTTTGAGGAATAAATTGATTTTTCAATAAAAAATAATTGTAATTTGAAGTTGGAAGAGAGTTTTGGAAAATGTTTTCCTTAAGTTTAGAAGGGAAGTCATTTTCCTTAAATTTGAGGAAAATGAGTTGATTTGGAAAACATTTTCCAAAACATTTAGCCCAATCAAACATGAGAAAATTGGAAAACATTTTCCGGAAAATGTTTTCCTTCATACCAAACACACCCATAGTTGATAATTTTGAAATTCACATAACTAATAGATATAAAAATTAAAATCGAGTTGACGAGTTAATACTTGAGCATTTTGGGAGTGGGGTAGGGGTAGGGCAAAAAGAAAGATGTAGTACCGTGAATAAGGTTATTTCTCTCTTACTTCAAAAGTTTTAAGAGTATTATAGATACGGAGTTGTTTTGATAGAGAGTGAAAACAAGAAATTAACTCCACAATTTTTTATTTTGGTCAAAAAAGGTTTAATATGATATGACTATATGAGCTCTCTTTTCTGTCATTTCAGCTGTGAAAGGCTTTTTCTTTTTCCCTCTCTGTGTAAGGTGCCACTCTTCAATATTCACAAGGTATATATATACTCCCTCCATCTCTATTTATTTGTCCATATTTCCTTTTTTAGTTGTTCCTATTTAGTTGTCCATTTTGACAAATCAAGAAAGGATAACAAATTTTTTTCTATTATATCCTTATTTACATTTCTTAAAAATTGTAAAAGTGTATGTTATTTCCCTCCAATTTATTTCACTTTAATTCAAAGAAGTGGTTGTAATTTTGAAGTGAAAAATTGTCATAAGGATAAAATTGTAACTTCACTGTGCTAATCATTGTTGCCTTAATCTGTGTGCCATTTCTAAAGTGGACAATTAAAAAGGGACGGAGGGAGTATATAATAGAGAGAGAGAGAGAGAGTCTATATTATGTATATAGAGAGAAAGTAGAAGGAGGTGAGAGATATGGGTTGGTTTCCATGTTCTGGAGCATTGAAGCAGACATCAAAGAAGAGGAAGAAGAAGAAGAAAGATTCGACTAATTCGGTCCAACTGGGTTCCGGTAACTATAAAAATGCATATTTATCGTATAAGAAGACTAATTTAATGATTATGTGAAATGGGTTTGTTGTATATTTGTCAAATTTCTCGTCTTTATTGTGATTTTGGAGCTTCAAGTTTTAATGGTTCTGTGAAATGGGTTTGTTGTATTGTTGTTAAAATTTCTCGTCTTTATGTGATTTTGGAGCTTTAAAGTTTTAATGATTCTGTAAAATATTATTGTCGAATTTCTCCTCTTGAGATAATTTGGAGCTTTAAGTTTTAATGATTTTGTGAAATGGGTTTGTTGTATTTTTGTCAAATTTCTGAGTCTTTAGATGATTTTGAGTTTTTTTTAATGATTCTGTGAAATGGGTTTGTTGTATTTTTGTCAAATTTCTGAGTCTTTAGATGATTTTGAGTTTTTTTTTTTAATGATTTTGTGAAATGGGTTTGTTGTTTTTTTGTCAAATTTCTCAGTCTAGAGATGATTTGGAGCTTTTTTTTTTATTAATGATTCTGTGAAATGGGTTTGTTGTATATTTGTTGAATTTCTCGTCTTTATTTTTTTTTTTTTTTTTTTTTTTTAATTTTTTGAAAAGGTAACTTTGAATTTCTCGTCTTTATGTGAATTTGGAGTTTAAGTTTTCAACTTTTAATGATTCTGTGAAATGGGTTTGTTGTAATATTGTTGAATTTCTCTTCTTGGGGATGATTCTGAGCTTCAAGTTTTAATGATTCTGTTAAATGGGCTTGTTGTATTTTGTCAAATTTGTTCGTCTTTAGATGATTTGGAGGTTCAAGTTTAAATGATTCTATGAAATGGGTTTGTTATATTTTTGTCAATTTTCTCATGTTTAGATGATTTGGGGCTTCATTTTTTTACATTATTTAGAGGAATTTTAGGAGGTTTCTAAGAACTCCTAGTTTGCCTAAAAAACATGAGCAATTTGTTAACATTGGAATAGAATGATCCCAAATTGAGCGAAATGATATAGAGGATTCATATAGCCGACCCCAATTAATTTAGGATTGAGGGACAATTGGTTGACTGATTGATTGCTTTAAGATGTACAGTTGCAACTGTTTGGTGGCGCGGAACTATACCCCTTTCGACAATCAATGGTAGTTATGGTCATTTTTTGGTAATATTTAGGGGTAGCCCCAATGACCTGCTAAATTTTGCTTTATTGCTTTGGGTTGTTTTCATGGATTTAATTAGTAGAGACTAAGGATTTAGGAGGTGCCAGAGAATGAATCAGAATGTAGTATGAAGGGTTCTAGGGGCTAGTTTTGTGGCTTAAGCTGGTGGATACTGCTCTTAAATATGAAAGTGGTGAAGTTTGCCATCCGGTGACTTAGAACAATGTCAACTGTGTTTTAGGGTGAAGATGTCTCTTAAGGTTGCATGAAAGTCTGTTTCATGGAACTGGAGTTAAGTCAACTGGGAATTTCATCAGATATATTATGTCATGAGTATTTGTGCTTCTAGGATCAAAAGGAAGCATAGAAATGACAAATAAAAAGATAAAATGGTGAGCTGTCAGTAATCTTAAGGTGAATTGGCACCCAAAGGTGTGGCTAGCAGTCAATGACGTTTCAATAGACTATGAGAAACCAAGGTTCAAATACCAATAGAGACAAAAAACACTAAATGTTCATTTATGTAAGTTTTGGTGGACAGAGTTACCCGGTAAATATGCTGATGGGGGAAGTAGTAGGTACTCGATGGATTAGTTAAATAATGACAAGTTGGCCCGATTACAATATTTATTTAAAAAGGAGTCTTGAGGTCAATTATTCCCGTCTCCTTTCTGGAAAGGAGCAACTTTGCTTCTTTCCCTCCCCGTTTTTAATGTTTTTATTGGTATTCATAAGGTGAGATATACTAAAACGAAAACAAGAGCCATCCAACTTCAGTCAACTCCACAAAATTTCTTTAAGAAAAAAATGAGGAGCTTTCTATTGGATATCCAAGAGTTTCAACTTCTATTTTACCATCCAAGTTTCACAAAGCTATTTTGTTATGCAAATTTAACTCTATCTCTTTTTCTTTTATAAGGTTCCATCAGGTGACTCTAGAAAGTTTTCATTTCTAAATGGACCCAGTAATGTGGGAACCGGTTGATAGGGAATAATAACGAGTGTTGCTTAGTAGAAATGATGAATTCTTGGTGATATTTACTGAGTTAGCTAATCCAACCATGCTGTTCTTACTGTATCTTGCATGACTGTCATAATAGAAAATTTGTTGAGAACACTTGGTTATTGAAACTGCACAATTTCCCAGTACATCAAGTGGTTGTACCAAGTTCTGTATCATGCATTTCCCACGATTGGACTAATTGAAAAGTGAACTAGATCGCTTCGGCTTCTTGATCACCCAGTCGGCTATATTTGATGTTTTTGAACCCTAGTTGTTTGGTTTCAGACTTTCAGTTCCGTGATTTTCTTTCCTTTTGTAATTTCTGTTTTGTTTTCGTGTTCAGATAAGTTGAAGGCAAAGACTCTGTTAGGTTCAAAGGAGTATGTCAAGGATGGCGAGTCTGGTCATATTGGAGCCAAGATTTTTACATTTCGTGAATTAGCAGTTGCAACAAGAAACTTTCGAGGTGATTGTCTTCTTGGAGAGGGAGGATTTGGAAGAGTATATAAAGGGCGGCTCGATTCCAATCAGGTCTTTTTCTGTCACTTTTTTCTTTTCAATAATGGAATGAAGTTCTTTTTTCGGTCTCCATCTGGTTATGCCCCCAATCCACCAGATTTTGGTTGAAGTCGCTATTTTGTCGCATAGTGTTCATGAGGGATATTAGTATGGTTTTCACTATTTAATTTCCTTTCTTCTTTCTTAAATTGTGTGCCAAGTCTACCCTCTTCTTTATGGAAGGAGTAGGATGGAAATGACCTTGGTGTTTATCAGTTCCTTTTTGTTTATTATAATAATGATAATGACGATGATCTATTGGTAGGGGTGCTACTTGTGATGTGTGGGATATGGGTACATGTCACAGGTTCAAACCCTGCCATAGACAACAACTTAGTATAATCCATCAAGTTTCAAACCGTGCGCAACTAGTCCTTGTGGATTTCTCGGGTATAAATAATAATAATTAATAATAATAAAAATGGAAATAACAATTTTTGCTGTTATCACTATTGCTATTATTTTAATTACTAGTATAGTACTCGCACGATGCACACATTTTTTTTATAACAAAAACAGATCTAAGAACTAAAGCTATTTGCAGATAGGCTGCAACAGCTTGCTAGCAGTGTTATCAAAAGCAAAAAGCTCTAAAGTCCATTGGGGGCTTTAAGCGCAAAGAAAGTGTGGGCTTAATGTAAAAAAGCGCTAAGAGAGACAAAATACAAATATATATGTTTAGCCCAAGACGAATAATTTTTAAGCATGAATGACCAATATATGAACAAAGAAATTGAAAAATAATTACGATAAAGTGAAAATATCAATTGTTTAGTGTCGTCTCTTCAAAAGAGGTTCATTGGCAAGGAAAAATATGCCTTAGACTTGATGACGAAGCAAGAGCCAGAAGAGATGGTGGAAAATCATTCCACATTGCATCTGGTGGACTGTGTGGACTGTGGAGAGAGAGAAACAGTAGATGTTTTTAAGATAAGTCCAATTCCATTCATAAAGTTAAATGGAATTGTATTCTATCTTTCTTTTTTTGGTGTAAAGAAACAGATATAGAGGAATTAGAGCTTGTAGATCTGTTAGGCTCTCTGTAAGTAGTTTCTCCCTCATTCTCTTCTTTTGTTCCTCTTTTGAAGGTCTCCAGCATATCCTTAATGCTGAAAAATACAGCATTACCAGTTTTTAAAAAAAGAACCTTGATGACGACATTGAAGTGCACATTAAGTGAGGTGAAGTGCTCAACACGTTTTGGGCCTTGCTTCAGGGCTTAAGTGCGCCTTTGATAACACTGCTTGCTAGGCACTATAACATTTCATTTCTATAAACATCAACCTACAAAACATGAAAAGACAGAAGATAGAAAGGCAGCACTCCATTGTTGTGGTAGGCAATGCAGTTTGTTCAGTATTCACCTCCACTTTGGTAAATCTTGGCCTCTGATATGTATGTGAAGGGCTACCTCTCTGCAGACTTATCAACAAAATAGTGAGCAACATTGAACCTTAGTCCATAATCCATTTCTTTCTCTCCAAATAACAGCCACAACCATAAATAATATACTACATATAAATGCTCTGCTGCCAGATTTTGTTGTCGCCTACCTGTTAGCCCAGTTATCATACCTAACACTTTCGAGGTGATTGCCTTCTTGGAGAGAGAGGATTTGAAAGAGTATATAAAGGGCGGCTCAATTCCAGTCAGGTTTTTTTCTGTCACTTTTTTCTTTTCAATATTGGAATGAAGTTCTTTATTTTGTCCCTCCAGTCTGGTTATGCCCCCAATCCACCAGATTTTGGTTGAACTGGCTATTTTGTCGCATAGGGTTCATGAGGGAGATTAGATCAATCAACTATGGTTGGGGTATAAATGGACGTGGGGTGGGAGATTTGGGCCATGAAGTGGAGTTACTGGAAAAATTGAGGTAGTTTTCTCAAAACGAAATGAGCTTTTCGATTTGCAAAAGAAACCTCAAAACTATTGCAGAAAGTTTGGATCTTTATCTTTTGATTTTGACTTCTTCTGGCGAATTTTTTAACAAAATCATTTGACAGTCGCATCAACTGTTATTGTGCTTGCTTTCATAGGTTTTCAGAAAGTGTAAAATATGGAGGTTACTTTTTCTTTTCTTCTTGCTTGTTTATTACAGAGGGAGGTTACAAAGTGGGTAGTGGGTTGGTGGCCAATTAAGAGAAGTGAGGAAGCTGAATAATTAAAAGCCGTGACATTTGAATTGTAAAAAAATTGTTTTGTGACGAGGGTAGTTAGTTTTATTTTAACAATGGCCATGTGTCATTTAAAGATAATGCCACTTGGCTGTTTGTGGGGTTTTTGCCCCTGCTTTAATAAATACTGTATAAATATATAGATAGATAGATAAATATAGATATAGATTTTATTTTCGGGTACTATGCTTCATGATATTGCTTTGGACATCTAAGATATGGGCTGGAGCTATGCTTTGACATCTCTTCTCATTTATTTTCTGTAGATTGTTGCCATCAAGCAACTCGATCGTAATGGATTGCAAGGGAACAGGGAATTTCTTGTTGAAGTGCTGATGCTAAGTCTGTTACACCATCCTAACCTGGTAAATTTAACTGGTTATTGCGCTGATGGAGATCAAAGACTTCTGGTTTATGAATATATGCCACTAGGATCATTGGATGACCATCTTCATGGTAATTTCTCTAATATTGGTAGCCTCTTCCATTATCTATGCATTTTTGGTTGAGATATGGATTTAAATCAGGTATTTGCAGATCTTACACCCGGTAAGAAAGTGCTTGATTGGAATACGAGAATGAAAATTGCAGCTGGAGCAGCTAAGGGCTTGGAATATTTACATGACAGAGCAAGTCCACCTGTAATATACCGCGATTTAAAATGCTCCAACATTTTGCTCGGTGAGGGGTATCACCCGAAGCTATCTGACTTTGGATTGGCTAAGTTGGGACCTGTAGGAGATAACACTCATGTCTCTACTAGAGTTATGGGTACTTATGGGTACTGTGCACCAGAGTATGCCATGACTGGTCAGTTGACGTTAAAGTCGGATGTTTACAGCTTTGGAGTCGTCCTCTTGGAGATCATCACCGGAAGGAAAGCAATTGAAAATTCAAAAACTGGAGGAGAACACAATCTGGTTGCATGGGTAAGATATTTTCTGATTATATAATCCCTCTGTTTCAATTTGTTTGTCTTACTTTCCTTTTTAGTACGAGTTTGTTTAAAAAAAGAAAGCCTCTTTCTTCTTCTCTTTTGCAACTCTTTTATTCTAACTTTCCACATGGTTTTTATATAATACAACAACATTAAAGGACATTTGGGTACATTCTACATATCTTAAGACCACAATATTCAAATGTTTTCTTTCCTTCTTAAACTCCACGTCAAGTCACTACCAGAAAAACAACGGAGGAAGTACCTTTATCTTGTTGTCTCCGTTCTTAAGAACCTTTTGGAAGATCAAAAAAGTTACTTCCTTTTTGCGTTGAAACAAAATACTACAATCATTTTTGGATAGAACTTCAATATCCCTACTGTCTAGATACTGGATTGATATTTTAGAGGCTTCCAGGCTGATCCAGCCATGCAGTCTATGTTGCTCGAACTCCCCAAAAATACCTCTTGAGGCATGTTGGATCCTCTAAAAGTATGCATTTTTGGAGGGTCCGCACAGGTGAGGCAACATTTTGGAGAGTCTGAGCAACAGCTTGCAGTGAGGTTCAGTTTTCTGTTATTTGGAGTACTTAATAATGGAATTTGGACGTATAATCCCACAAAGTGGAGCCTGAGGAGGTAGAATGTTTGCAAACCTTACTCCTACCTCAGAGGTAGAGAGGTTTCCGATAGACCCCTGGCTCAAAGAAAAACAATCCAAAGCAGTCCCGAACAAGAAGTAATGGAAGTACAATAAACAACATATAATAACAAGAAAGCAGATGGTAACAGAACACCAACTACATCAAAACAAATTCGATAATCATGGTACAAGGACAATAGCTATTAACAAAAATCGAAGGATGAGAAACTACAGAGGCAATATTATGACTACTAATATAAATGGAAAACAATATTAATTTTGCTATTAGAAAATCAATTTATAGAACCAAGTTCAAAGATTATACTCATGCTCTCCTTTTCAGGCAAAACCGTTGTTCAGAGATCGGAGAAAATTCTCACAGATGGCTGATCCAATGCTTCAAGGACAATATCCAGAAAGAGGCCTGTACCAAGCTCTAGCAGTTGCAGCAATGTGTGTTCAGGAGCAACCTAACATGCGTCCAGTCATAGCAGACGTCGTCACAGCTTTATCTTACCTTGCTGCACAGAAATTTGACAGTGATACTCAGGGAGTTCAAAATTTGCGCTGGACACCTGCTACTCCACCTAGAACAAGACGTGATGCTGATAAGCGACAAAAGGGTGGCAGTTATGAACCTAGATGGTGATAGGAAGACTAAACAAGTTGCTCTATGAACAAGTACATAATATCAAGACGAGTGACCTCTTGGATTACAGCTAGTTGAAGCTATAGATCACAGTACAAACGACAATCAAATGCACCTCAAGTACAAGTTCAACCAAACGGAACTTGTATAGTCAATGACCACCAAAATCTTGTACTCGGAAGTCAGACCAGTTATGCTTATCTTCCCTAATATCGAGCATGTGAGTACGTAGTTGTTTCGTGTTAGTGCAGCTTATGGTTTTGCTCACTTCCTGGTAGCCCTGCATAGCTTGGAAAAGTATTTTTTGTTGTACAAAGTGGGCTTGCCTAACCATTTCCGTGTGCGTAAGTATTGTATTGTGAAAAGGCAAATTATGATATATAATGACAGACTCAATGATTGTATTTAATTATATTCTTTTTTAGCCATATCTTTGTGATTAAAAATCATTGAAGTGAACAGTCAAAAACACATTTAAAGTATCTTTCTTTTGATTTTAATATTTGAACTATTGTCAATTATTTATTGAAACACACTTCTATCAGCTGACCACTTTTTCTACCTGAAGTATCACCCATTGTTCAGGTAGGAAAAGCAAACAACAAATAGTTAAGATGTGTTTCAATAAATATTTGATGATAGTTCAGTTACGACACTCAAAATTGAGCTATGTAAGTGTATTTTTAATCATTTAACTTGAAATATAATTGAGTATTGAAATGAAATGGGTCGGATAGGGTTGGATGAATACGGAGAACTCATATAGGTGTATATAACTTAAACTCATTCACAATTAAGCAAAATCGAAGCTCACATTCCACAACTGCTACAAGAAGATGCCAAATTTCTTTACAGGTAAGTTGTAACAGTACAGAAGAATCAAATAACTGTTGAAACAAAATTGAGCTGGGAGGTACAAGTTACACTTCAACAGGACGTAGAAAGGACCTAACTACACATGCAACCAATTGAGGGTGTAATCACCACCTCTTATAATCATAACTTTCAGTATACACCTTCAATAAGCAGCATCATGCTTACTATTCTTGCTGTCCAATAGCTTCAGTCGCCGTACTGCTCATTTCTGGTCCTTCATTCGCAGATTTCATTTCGTTCAGATTGCTTGGTTTCGCCTGTCAAATCAGCAAAATTCATCATTGAGCATTCTTAGGTCTAAGTTCTCGTTTTTTTTTTTCGTTCTTAGGTCTAAGTTGATACCGAAAGTTAAGACCCTTTTGGGAAGGCCAAACGGGCAATAATAGCCATTTAAAACAATCATGATTAGTGAAAGAAATGAGTCCTCTAATGCATAATGTGAAGTCTCATCTTTCTGACACTTCTATTTCATATTGGTAATGTTGTCACCTTTTATACAGGATTAGGCATGTCTGGTCCTCCATATATTTTCGTATTGGATACAATCTACAGGCATGAGCCACGGCCTAAACCCCACGATACTTGTGGTTTTTGACTTGAAAAAAACCACTTAGACAATGATGATCAAATTTCAGAATGTGTGATTTCACACCACTAATTAGTAATTAGGAATCTTCACTAGTTACGCCTCCTAAATTATATTATGCTTATATGTTTACATGCCAAGAAGAGATGCTATCATTTATCATTTGTATCAATAGCAGATAATTACCCTATAACTGAGGGGAGTGTCAAAAATACCTTGTTTCGATCACGCCAACCAAGGCCGAATGATAGTAGACCTGTCCTTTTTGCTGGTGCACCTTGCGGAGAATCTGGTCTTGTCGACCTGACAAATACATGGTCACTTTAAATCATCTATACGCCAAAATAACAAGAAAAAAAACTTTGTAATGCTGAATGACAAATCCCTTAACACGAACATGAATCATATTTTATAACATAATAATCTCTTGGCTTATACAGAGATACTTTCAGCACGAGTCTGACTTGAGAAATACCCACCTAACTATAAAAAGTTCTTAAATTATTGTACTGTTCAAATCTCCGTCAAAGACAGAATACCAACCAACAGTTATCAAGCCTTTGTTCAACTTTATGATATTTTTTTTTTTTTTGATAATAGCTTTATGATATTATTGGATGAACACATCTCAAACTCCTAACATCTAACAAATAAAGTTATACTTGTTATGATAGACATAGGAGAGAGCAAGGATACTGAGATACTCTAGGTAAACTGATCGTGTTAGTTGTTTTGACTTTTTCTTTCGTCAAATACCAAAGTGCTGAAAGTATCACATCACCAAAAAAGAAAGAATAGGCTGAGGGAAGAAAATCATAAGCAACTATAATTCTTTTGTTTCATACACTTGGGCAACAAGCGGCACCATACACTTTTTGCGGACACTTGGGCAAGATCTTTTCAGCTTATGAAAATTAGATGATCGCTTAATAATTTATTGACATTACACCCTGTGGAGAAACTTTTTCCTTGTAACAGAAATTAGGTTAGCAGGTTGTCAAATGAATCTATTTTTGCATCAACGTTGTGTTTGGAATTACTAAACTACGATATTACTTTTCCAGTAACATCTCCCTAGCCAGCCACCATAGTCATTGAATTTCTATTTTTCTGATGTTTTCCACCCGTCATTGACCAGATCATAGTCCTATGTGTGCTTCATAATGTAAATATCCTGGTTTAATTGTCTTATATGCTTGCTTCAATTAATTTTCTTGTGACAGGGTCGTGCAGCTGGCTTATAGAGATTTACCTAATATACAATCAACCTGTGTTGTTTCAGTGATGGTTTCATGGTTCTTACTCAGTCAGAGTAAGAGTAGATTTTTACATTAAATTGGTTATTCCCCTCTTTCAAGATGTATCCTGGATAAAGATAAATTATGGAAGTGTGAGTGAATCACTATCGGGGAAACTCACAACATAAACTCCCAAGCAGAGTGGTTTTCCCGCAGGCTCTTTGCCCATTAACAGCCGCTTAGCAGACTGTCTGGGTTGCTTAATTGGTTCTATGCCAAGTAAATAAATTGGTGCATCTTTAGGTGCTAATTAGAAGAAGTGGAGTCATGGAACTATTGAGGTGAATCAAAGTTGGCAGTTGAACGAAACAATATCTTTCTAGAGGAGGCAAACTGGATTTTAAGAAATCTCTTTCAAGTCTCCCTGAATATCAGATGACTACTTTAGTATCCAAGGTCCATTTTCTGAAAGGGCTCTTAGCTGTTGGAGTTTCTTTGACTGCACTGTCATACTGTGGAGTATCATGGACAATGCCATGGACAATCAAGGGCTTTTTGCCAAGTAATTTTTTACAAATGATACCCAATTGATTATTATTTTTTTGAAATAGAAATGATACCGAATTGATTATTTTAGTGCATTTTTTTCTGGAAAGAAGCAGGAAAGGTTTTAGGGGTCGTTTGGTGTGATGGATAAAGAAAAATAATCCTAGGATAACTTTTTAGTACCCCTCAATTCTTTGTTTGGTTACAAAGTGTGGGATAACTTATCCCAGGATTAATAATTATGACTGGGATAAGTTATCCCTACTTGAGGGTGGAATACTAATCCTAGGATAAAAATGTAAAATAACAAAATTACCCCCTTAAACCCTCTTTTACAAATAAACAACTATTCTTAGAGGGTATTTTTGTAAACACACAACTTACTCTTAGAAATTATGTCATGCATATTTGACAAACCAAACAACCAATAAAAAATAATCTCAACATAACGAATCCCATCATAACTTATCCCAACATAACTTATCCCATCATAATTAATCCCAACATTACTTGTCTTCAAACCAAACGACCCCTTAGTGTCCACATAGTTCAGCAGAAGTTAAAAAGGAACTATTGACATTTTTCTACACATACGTTGGATGCAAAAGAACTAGATTCATAAGAAAAGAGAAGATGTAAAATTTAGAATGAACTCAGAACTCTCACACACCGTGGGGAAGATAGAGCTTTGACTTGACCAGATTCATATTGCAAGGTAGCTTCAAGCATCGATTCAGCCATGACAACTCTCTTCTCCATCTGAGCAACAGAAGCCATAGCCTTTTCATACTTTTCCTGCATGAAGAGGTTGTTCAGGAAAATAAGTATCCCATTATGAAACTTCTAACTAAGCTGAGACTGTAAGCTAAATGCCACTGCTTTTGGCTTCACAAGAGATTTTTTAAATGAAAAACTTAGCTATTTCATTACTTCTTCTCAAAAACCAATGCATCAAATGGCACAAGAATGATAAGTAGTGATGGACTCACAAGCATATTTTTGGTGCAGGGCCAATTACAAAATAAAGTTCTACTTATCAAATAAAAGAATTAGCCAATGAACCACAGGATACCTTCCCAAGCTGCAATTAGCTAGTAAGAGTTTTGAGCACTAACGTCCGTTAATGTGCTTATGCATCAAAGAATTGTAATAGTTGCTTCAAATAAACAAGCTATATTGGTCACTGGTAGTGGATATCAAACCTGAAGAACGTGTACTGCATACTTTTGAGCAGCCACATCCTGCTCGGCAGCAATCCTAGCATCTTCTGTTACCTTCTGTTCTTGCTCAACCCGCATCAAAACCTACAGGTCATATCTTAAGCATGTAAATATAGCTTTAAAAGCAGATTTACAGGAAGCACTTTGTTTAACTACCTCAAGCATTGCTTTCTCCTGCTCTTTCTTATCATTAAGGGTGTGTCGCAAGTCAGCCACTTCTTGCTCCAATTGCTCAACCTGCAGATTGTTGACAAAACTTCAGAAAGATGTGTTGACAACATGATTTTCTTTGTTTCAGAAAGTCCAGAATAAACGGAGATTTTAAGAACAGAGATAATATATATTTACTAGAAAAGTCTGTTTACAAGTGACCTTTTCTTCCATGTTTAAAGTGCATATAACTTACATTCAACCAGCAACATGAGTACTAAAATAATTGAACATAAGTAAATATATATACCCTAGCACTTAATTGTCGTCGGTTATCTTCTTTGACCATCTCCATAAGCGCCGTCTCCAACTCTTCAGCTCTGGAAAAGAAAATTACAACTTATCTGTTTCAGGTTTAAACTTTCTTTTTCGTGTTTTAGCATTGTCAATAAATATATTAGTGGACGCAATCGTCATGATTGAATCACAGGAACAAAAAGTACTACAGGAGATTCCACATAAAAAATGAAATCAAAATTGGACTATTGAAATAAAAATGCAAACCTCAGGGTAGCTGCTCTCTTGTCTTCCAGTGTCCTGCAGAGCTCAACCTTCAACCAAACAACCTGCATAGCAGCTGTTAATAATTGCACTAAAAAGGGAGTGGTCAACTACTTTAGTTAATAAAACAGACAAGTATTTTTCTTAATCACAGAACACTAACAATTGCCACTGAAGTTTGCTGGTAAGAGGAATTGACAGATTCTACACCAATATAAAATTTTCATTAATACATAGTGTATCTAACAAGAAA